TGCACAGTTTTGACCCCAAATACTTTCACTAACTGAACCATCTTCACTGTCATAACAGATGTTAAAAGCTTTATGAAAGCCATCCGTACTACACTCAAAGTCAGCAAAGAAAACGTGCTCAGGTATGAATTTACATTTAGCTTTATTTACTTCTTTTGACTCTGCTTTCTTCTTCAGTTGTACACAATACTTTGGAGCATATGTCAAATCTTTAAATGGTGCAAGGTTCTGTTTATATAAGTCAGTCGTATATGTGAAAAGTTCTCCATAAGAAATAGGTTCAAAATATTTGCACTCCCACAATGTTTTCATAACATCCCATACGGTGTGTTCTATCATAACGAACTACATATTTATCTTCTCTCTTTGTATAAATCTTCATCTGTTTCTCAATGTTCATTCCACCACAAGCTTTGAGAATTTCTTATATAGTTTCGAATGAAATATGTTGTCATTGGAAGTCTTTCATTTAGCATGTAGTGGTCTTCAACAAGAAGTAAGTCAATAGTTCTAACAGTTTCACATTCTTTTGGTATATATCTCTTTATTTCATTATGTCTTGAGTCATTGAAATAACCAATGGTAACATTAAATGCTATACCTGTTGCGTCAGAAATTTCTTGTACTTTACTTTGAGGAAAGTCTCTAACACGAATGACTTCTCTCATGTGGTCAATAGTTTCTTCATTTACTCCAGCCTGAATGCAAGCATAAACGAAACAATTGTCCTCTGTCATAAGTGTTGCAGTTCTTTTGTTCAGTTCATTGAAGATTTGGTAGCGTTCAAGATTTATAGGTAATGTGCAAAGATACTTCCAGAACTGACCGCTTCTCTTCTTATAAAACTTCTTTTCACCATTATCTTTCCAAAAGCTTTCTATAAGTGCTGGGTTTCCTGTTTGCTTAAGAGCTTCCAAAATGGCTTTCTGGTCATTTGTCAGTGTGCTTTCATCTCTATATGGTCTCTTTTTTGGTTTGCCTTTCTTTACATCTGACATCGTTAAGCCTTCATATTCTGTTAAATCATACATCTTTATTTCGGTAAGATTCTTTATGTTTGTCAAGAAGAAGTCATAGTGCATTTCAACAATACCTGCAGCATTTGCTTCTATCTCTGATATAAAGTTCTCCTTCAAGAGCTGATGTAGTAATGTTCCAATATTATTGAGGTTTAACGTAGAACATTCATACTTTCCACCAAGTTTATAACATACCATCCATCTCTGTTGGGAGTTTATTTTAATTTTCTCTAAGAGTCTCATGAAAACCTTACCGAAATGTTTGTGTAATAGTCTCTGTTTGGTTCATCTAAAGCTTCGATGTTAAAGTCAATGAGTCTATTGCCTGACTTCACATTTCTCTTCCTATTTTCTTCATCTTTCTTTAACCATCTCTCACCTTCTTTTGGTTTGTCGTCAATGGAACGAATGACATCGTTAGCTTTGCGAACTTGTTCTATAGCACTTTTAAACATCTCTCTTCTCTGTTGTTTCAGTGTGTCATCTCTCTTTCGTGTTTCACCAACGTTTGCATTTGTTATGTCAAACATCTCTTGACGAACGTCATGCGAAAGAGCTTTACGAGTATGACCAACGTTCGCATTTGTTATGTCAAACATTTCTCTTCTTACTTCATGAGGTTGAACGTCTATGATATAAGTCAATAGCAATGTCATTTAAAGGAAATGCTCTTGCATGGACTTCGTCCTCGCCGCGTTGCGGCTTTATGAACTCATGAATTCTATCATAACTTATTGCACCATTGTAGTCTTTAATGAAGTCAGCGAGTGCTTTTTTGTTTGTCGCGTAATGTTTTGCAACATCTATATTAGCTTCTGTAAGAAGTTGTTTTATTTCCGAGTGTTCTAACTTAGACAACTTCCGATACATCTTTAGTAGGAAATAAAAAAATATTTTTTGAAAAAATAAACTTAGAAAAATTATTTCTTTCTATATTTGCCATTCCGAACTTCGAAAAGATGTTTTATACCAGCATAGAATTTTTCTCTAGAGCTTGGTCTTATATTGTTTTCATGACAATATTTTCTATATTCTTCATATAAAGCCTTTTTTTCATACATTTTATAAGGACAATCTAACCAGAATAGTGCATATCCAGTTTCGTTATCTAGGTCTCTATATGTTTCTTCTGTTTGTAGAATTTCGCTTTCTTCTATTTGTAGAATTTCGCTTTCTCTATTTAGTTCTATGTCTATATATTGTGGCTTAAAAGGATGTGGGCAAGAAGGGTCTGGCGCTATGTAAAAAGTTAATTTTTCTGTCATCTTTTCTATCGGATAAAAAATATTTTTTGAAAAATTAGATTACATTTTTTTAAGTTATTTTTCAAAATAATTTAATATTTTTATTTTAATGAAACACATGCAAGATTGCAAGTTCTTTTCATACAATGCTCTCGCTACTGCCATCAAGAATGAGTTCAATAATGCTTCAAACGTCAATGTTATCTTTAACAAGAAGTTTGTGAAAGAATCTAAGTTTGGTCAGTATGTCAGACCATTAGCTATTGTCATTGACCGCAAACGTTATACTTCACAAGAGTTAGCAGTAGTTTTGAAACAAAAGGGTTTCTTCGTGAATGTCAAAGATACTCATTATACTGTCATAAAGAACTCCAACATTGACTTCTTCAGTATTGCTATGAATCTTTCCGAACAGAAAGAATATAAGAAGGGTGAAACATCTGTGAAATATTATCCTTCATCTCTGAAGACAATAACGAACAAAGATGTTATACAAAAGTTCTTACCAAAGGTTGAAGAAGCTTCTATTGACATTGACGAAGGAAGTGAAATGGTTGAAGAAATTGACCCTGAAGCTATTTAACCAAAAATATATTTTTGGTGAAGAGGTGAGATTTCACCTGTTTTTTCACCTCATTCTCTCTTCGTTAATGTTGTCGTGACTTCTTCGTTAATGTTGTCGTGACTTCATTCTTCCTCTTTGAAGTTATCGAAATATTCTGTTATTTTTTCCTTCAGTAATGGTAAGTCTTCTTTGAAGGTAAGTATTGTGCAACCTTTGATGTCATAGTGTGTTTGAGGAAGAGTATTTTTGACAATTTCTTTTATTTGCTCATTCGGTGTCATTGAAATCGGTAAGTTTTCACGATAGAACCAGTTTCTGTCAGATTTATATATTTTAGCAAGGTCGTAAAAGCTTTTGTTGTTTCTTCTGACTAAATGCAACATAACCATATCTCTGTCTTCTTCATTCTCCAACTCTTCAGTATAAATCATATACTTATAGTTCTTTTCCTTTCCTTTTGGTACTGAACGCGGTATTCTTTTCTGTATGCTTTTGTCTTTGGATTCAATGACTTCATCTTTTGCTTGAAGTTTCTTTTCCATCTCTCCACGTTCTTGTCTGTGAAGTTCGTCAAGAAGTTTGTAAATATTCCAAGCATAACGTGGTGAAGCCCACATTGCAACTGCATTTACTAAAAGTCTATGAACATAATATCCTCTCAAACCGTTTGGCAATTTTTCACGGTTTTCATAGAGTTTTGGCGACTGGGGTTTTATACCCACTCGCTGTGCTTCGCTGTTTTCAGAAAAAAGTATGTCTCGCTGTGCTTCATTAATAGTTCAATAGTGCTTTGGTTCCTAAACCAGTCTTTAGGAAGCTTAGTATCTGGAGCAAAACAAGCCGTCAAAATACTTTGCATTTGGTACATGTCGTCTTTGACAGAACGAATGAGTCTCAATTGTTTGTTATACTGTATGTATTCGTATTCTTCATTTATGACTTCATGAACGATAGCAGTTGTTGTGTTCTCTAATGTTGACATATCTGTCTTTACATACAGGATAAAAAAAAATAAAATAAAAACTAACTTTATTTTTTTTGAGATAAACACTATTTCTTCACAACATTAAATTTTATCCTGTATGAAATGACTTTAAAAAGATTATTGACTGACTTCGAATACTATCTCATTGACGCACTGACAGACCCTCAAAACTGTGTTGAAAGTTCTTTAAGCTTTAAGATTGAAGGTACGACGCATTTTGTCTTCACTTACGTATTGAAAGAATATGACCGTTATCATAACGAAGTGAATCAAACACTAATAAAATTTGTAGATAAAAAATTGGTTAACAATGAATATTTTAAACGTGAAGACCCAAACACTGCTGGAGATGATGAAGAATACAGACAAGTTATTGAAAAAAATAACGCAAGATTAGATGCAATAGAAAAGAAGTTTAATGAATGTCTTACAAACACGTATGAATATCTTATGCAGTGGGAAGCCAGATGGAAATAAATTTACGTCAAATATGCAATTTATAAAATCTTATGTCGACAGGCTACGTAGCACAGTGGTCTAAGGTGGTGTTATGGAGGGGTCAAGGTCTGTGGTTCGAACCGCGACAGCGCCGTATTTTCTTATTTTCTTTATTTGTCTTGTTTGTCGTGAATAAAAAGTGTCATAAAAGTGCTCTATCTTCCACGGGAATAAATAAAAAATTTACTTTATTTCTTCTTTATTTCTTTGTTCCCGTGGAAGAAGGGTTTTGCTGTTTTTTCTCAGCCGAAATCAATGATTTTTTCATTTTTGGAATCCTTAGCAAATGAGGAATCTTTTCTCTCGTGGAAGCTTTGAACAAAAATAATGTTTAGGTGAAGAGGTGAGATGTCACCTGTTTTTTCACCTAATTTTTCACCTCATGAATTTGTCATGAAATAAAAAATAAAGTTAGTTTTATTTTTATTTATTTTTTATTTTGTATAAAAGATATGATTTCAACAATCGGCACAACAACAATACAAGCCGCGAACGGCGGGACTCTGTCCACAACTACAGCACCAAACTCGTTAGTCATGAATCCTACGTCAATGTTGGTAGAAATGAAAAACTTCATTCCTTCTTCATATACTTTCGAAACAAAAATCCAGAAGATAAAGCAAGAACTTTTAACAAGTAATTTAGACTGTAGTGCGAAAGATGAAACAAATGAACAGTATCTTTATGAAATGCAGGACATTATTGACCATTTACCCAAATTGCCTGAAATCCAACAACAAAAACTCACTATTCCTGAATTCGACGAAATTGAAGTGAAACCAACTGACTCAGTAGAAATAAAGAAGTTCATACGTAAAGTAAATTATGAATTCCTTGGTTTTCATTGCAACCATAAAGTTATGGACAAAGATTGCGACATGGTATATAAAAACATTTCTGACATATATAAATCTGAGGAGTTTAAGACTTACGATAACTTTGTTTCATTAGTTGCAAAATGTGTTTGGGAAATAAGAGATAAAGATAGAAGAGGTAAGGTATGGAATGAACAGATAAGACCCGCTATGTTTGAGATGAAGAAAACCATTGACGCCTTAGTTGTTTTAGCAGGTAAGGTTTCAGAATATAATGCAAAGTTGAACCCACAATGTTCTAAATGTAAAGCAGCAATAAGGAAATATAACTACTCCGTCAAAGAGATAGAAAGAATGAGAAACGACTATGCAGACTTAAAGAAAGAAGCAGAAAAGCCAGCAGAAGATAAAATGAACATGTTAGAATTTCTGAACAAAAACTATCCAACAGCAGAAGATTTCCTTCTATCTGACGTCAAGAAGAAGTATAAAGAAACCTTCGGTATCGTTAAAACTTTTGACATACTGACAGAAGAAATAGAAGCTACGAAATTGTTTAGGATTTCAAATATACATCGTACAATTCATGTGAAACGTTTATAAAATAACTAGGGTGAGAAAACAGGTGAAAAAACAGGTGACATCTCACCTCTTCACCTAAACATTATTTTTGTCTGATTTACATCCAACGAAAAAGTTTAGAAGAATTTTCTTATTCTTTCTGGCATGTTTTTATCTTTCCAGTACTCCCGCTCTAATGGTCCCAGATGAGTTGGTTTAGATTCTCTCAAGTTCTTAGATGGTATAACATCTTCAACGCCTCCTTCATATCTTACTTTATAAGTGTCATCGTTTATGTTGTAGTCAAGTATTTCAATAACCACTCCTCGCTTTGCTTCGTCAATGGTTTCAGCAAGTTTGCCATTACTACTTTCGACTAATTTATGACGAGGGTAAAATGCTATGGAGTCGTCAGCAGCTTTTATAAGATATCCATTACCTTGCGTAGAGTCTACGATATAATAATTTCGACTTAACCTTAAACGTTTCTTTGTCAACGGTTTGTCGTCAAGAACTACACGAACTTTTGTACCAGGAATGAGGGTAAATTGTTTTGAATTTCTGATATTTTGTGTTTGGCTTCGTTTCTTTTGTATATACTTTTCTTCTTGTTGTTGTGTCATTGAATTTGGTGTATGTCCTGTTGTAGAATGTGTTGAGGAATTGTAAACTTCGATGAAATGTTTCATTGTTTCTTCGGTAAAGTCTCGCTCTTGATTTAAATCTCTGAGCGTTCTTATGAAGCGGTTAATGATACCGAGTATGTTATGGTTATGGTCTTCAGTAGTGTAGTGAGTTATGTTATGCTTAATGAGAAATTCTGTGATTTCATTGCTGAGGTATGCACTGTCTTGGTCTGATGTTAAAATACTTGGGTTATGTTCTGCTACAAACTTTTGTAAAACTCTTAACACTTCACGAGTTCCTTTATTTTTCATTGGATATGCATATGCTTTACGAGTGTTAACATTTATGAAGATGAGGAATGGTTTATGTCCTCCTTTTCTGCTTTGAATGAGAGTGTCAAATTGGTATGCGTCAGGAGTGTTGGAGTAAATTGGTAAAAAGTAGTCGTAAGGGTTTATTTTTGTTTGATGTACAACATTTTTGTCAAAGAACCTTTTCACTTCAGCTCTGTTAGTAAATCCCCAACTCTTTGCAGCTTCATTGAACTTCTTAAATGACCTCCATGGATGTTGTTCGAATACTTCTTTCAAGCTCATTTATGTAAAGTTAAAGATTTTATTCTAGGCTCAAGCGCGTTCAATGAACGCGGTACCATGCGAATACAGTCACAAATGGTGGCATGTAATCTGCACCCGAGCCTGTTGGATTTGTTGTGAAAGTATGGGCATGATTTCCTGCGGTTCCACAGAAAATACCTGCGCTTGAATCTACTGGGTCACTTGAAATATCATATCTATGCATTCCCTGTCTATCCGAACCTGCTGCAAGATTTGTATAACCTCTTTTTGTTATTGAATGTGAATGACTACCTGTTGTGTTTGTAGTTCCTGTATGAGTGTGCGGTGGAAGGTTTGCTTCAGTAATTTTCTTCGAACCTCCTGTTTGCTTTGAAGAGTTAGCACAGTATAAGAATTTGTCTACAATCTGCTGCCATGTACCAAAACCTAAAACTGTTGCTGGATTTGTTGAGTTCATTGACGTATAAATAGAGCCTATAGGATATAATGTTTGAAGTATTTCTGTCTTTAATGTTTGAAGCTCTGTTTTGTCTGCTTTCTTGTCATATAAATCTTGAGCAGTGAATTTAATATTATGTTCATCCTTCATGACATAAACATCTTTACATCTAATGTTTTTCATCGTCGTTATGTCGTCATCCGATGTTAAACCTTGTGGAAAGTTAGGAGGTTTACAATATAATGCATCCCCACCAGTTTCTTCAACCGTTCCTTCAATACTTTCTATAGCAACAGTTGTAAAACTTGTATGTGTATGAGTCTTATTTGCTTTTTATCTAACATTGCTGGTAGTTCATGTGTTTCAAAGTTTCTGACATGACCTTCGATATTCATACATTTGTTATTTAAGGAGTTTAGTGTATCTTTTACGCTTGTACTTGGATTCTCTAAAGGTGCACTTGAACCAAGGGTATAGTTCAATATTATGTCGTCTGCTCTAACAGTTGAGAAGGAGTTATGTGTATGATTTTTGTCAGCTTTACTGTCTAATGTAGCTTGAAGTTCATTTATATCGGAGATGTTGTGTTTATGAGATTTCAAAACTTTGTTCATTGCTTCGAGTTCAACTTTGTCAGCTTTACTTTTAATAGCATCTTCAAACGTTATTTTTGCCTTAACTCTTAACATAAATCTTGGTTCAACTAATACACCGTTAACATTGAAAGTAGAGGCATAAATTTCACCGGTATAACCAAATGCTTCTGGTGCTTTAGCTACATCATACTGTACAGTACAGCTTATGTCATAACCTTTAGCACGAATGTATTTATATCTTCTTTCATTAACATTTTTTGTCTTCGCTTCATCACTTCGTGTTAAATATCCATGGTAGTCCGTTATAATCTGTTCGTCTGAAGTTATATAATGAACGTGGTTTTTATCTGCTTTTTCGGCTAATTTCTCATTAACATCATTCACTTCTAATTCAACTCTTCCGCCAGAACTCTTATTATCATTAATCTTTTTCATTAATTCGGTAATTACGTCATAAAGACTATATTCTGTTTTCGGTTTTTGTAAATAATGAGTCAAAATTTCTTTTCATCATTACATCGCTGACATTAATGATATCACCAATTCCTTTTTCATTTATTCTCTTCATTAGTTCTGCAATAATGACGAATATATAATCTGTTAATTTATTCTCTTCATCGAGGGTTATAGAATGTTTTGAAATTGAATCATTAACTCCTCTAAATAAATCAATAACTTCAGGATACACGTTTTTAAATGTCTTGAATAACCCGACCAGTATCCTCGCCACTATGTGGCCTGAGCCCGTTGGGCTCTGTTGTTCATGTTCTTCGTTCCCGTCGTTACGTGGTTTTATATCTCTAACCATCATCAACGCAGCCATAACCGGAGGGTTTGTTGCTACCTGTTCGAAAATCCGTCCGTTATGTATGGTATATCTAAATAATTTCTTTGTGTTTGTTAAAACATTTGAAACAAGTCTTTTAAAACCATCTACAAAATTTCCTGTTTCACCTAATGTTCTTGCAGCATTTACAAGCTCACCCATTCCCGCTTTTGACCCCAAAAACGTCCATATTGCATTTATTTCACTCTGTATAGTTGTCCATTCAGCGAAACTAACACCCGCATTCGCTAAGCTGAAAATGAAATTCAGTGGATCGAACTTAATTCCACCTTCTTTTTCAATTTCAACGAACTCACTAACATGAGATTTTAAATATTCTTTCGTTAAAATTGTTTTCCCCGATGTTATGTCATTAACGAAACTATCACCGTCAAAAGTTAACGAATTCAATTTCGTCGTTGATGCTTTTATTTCATACACCGCTTTATCGATAGTTTTTGGCTCACCTTCTTTAGAAGCATATGAAACATTAATGAATGAATTATATGTATTCGTGAATGAGTTAAAATCAATGATTTTCATTAATGACGCCTTTAATGATTCATTAACTGTTGAATCCCTTAAAACATTAATGAACTGTCATGGGCTTCGCCCTGGTCGCTTCGGTCTGAAAGACCTTCAGGACTCAAAGAGTCCGTTTGCGACTTTATGAAAGGTACACTGCAAACCGTCGAGTTTGGATCAAATGCTGTAGTTGGTGCAGGAATATTAATGATATAAGTCATTAAATCATTAAGTGACGTAAATAATGTTGTCGTTTTTGATTTAATTTCTTTAGCATCTGTTATATATGGTAATTTTATTTCTGTAGTTTCTGAATTAAAGATATTCGCTAAAATGTTTTTGTAAACTGTTTGAACAGCAGTATAAACCGTTGAATCCGGAACTTTACGATTTCACCGTCCTTAATAAAAGGCATTGCACATGGTGTAGTGCTTGGGTCAAATCTTTCGGGATTATAATTCAACATATATTCTAATGCTTCATATACAGACTTATATACTGTTGTGTCGTTCTTCATGACAACTTCACCATTTACAATGAATGGCATTGTACATGGAGTTAAAATAGGGTCAAACTTTTCATAGTCCTTCCATGTTATGTATTTCTCGGTATTTCCATCACTGATAACAATATATTTGTCAGTAAGTGTGAGAGAGTATTGACCAAAATATAAACGTTTAGCTCTGTCAGCTTCATACGCATATGCAGCTATACTCATATTTTAATGAGAATAAAATGTTGTTCTATTTGCAAAGTACAGACCCAAACGAATACGGGACAGTAAAGCTACAAACAAACTTAGGTCTACAGAATGAGCCACTTGCATTCAGAATGGTTGACTTCAATACTATCGCTTCATTCGTTATAACAGATGAAACAGATTTCATGGAGCTTGAAATAGATGGAAAGAAGCACGAAATAAGATTTCACAATAATGTAGAATATAAGATGGAAACATTAGCTGGAGTGTTAAATGCTCTCATAAATACTACAATAAACAAGGAGAACGAAGAAAACTTAATGAATGTTAAACTTATTGCAGGAGTTTTGAAGTTCAGTTATGCGAAGGAGTTTAAGATAACACGAATGAGTCATAGAGTTCAATTCTTTGGGCATACCATATGACATTTCCTTTGAAAAGTATTGACAAAACGATTGAGATGAAATCTGTTCCATACGTATGTTATGGTAATTGTTTATACATTGAGTCAAAAATAGCTAATGTCACAGGTATTTCAGGAGTTAATAGTAAAGGTTCAGTAGAATATAAGTCTTTCTGTTATGCAGTCAATTCAATGTTCATTCCAAACGTTCCTGTCATAGCAACTCATTTAGGTAAATGGGTTCGCATTAGTCCTCATAATTTGAAAGACATGCAATTCAGACTTGTTGACTTTCAAGGAGAGCCTGTAGAACTGAAGGCACCAGTGCGAATGACTGTTGAAGTAGAC